CCCCAACGCAAAAAAAAAATACATCTTGAGAAATAGGCCTATCAATATGAATTTCGAAATGAAATCTTTTGTTTCTAAGTTTTGCAATTTATCCCATAGCTTACGCACAGATTCATCTCGATCTCATATGGTCAGAACAACAAACACAATTTCAGTCTTATTCGGCAAATGTGTACTTTACTGTTCCATGATTTAACGGGTGTTTTGGAGGCTTGGCATGCAACAGCCGTCAAGAGTAAACTTAAAGACACGTAATACGTTGAAATTCATGTCTTTCTTTCGTAGCGAAACTGCGCGTCCAGCAGTCGCGCGGCCCATTTGGCGTGTGGGTATGAGGTTGGTTGCCTCAGTTGCTCAGTTGAGTGGTTACCAGAGCCAAATGTTGGTTGATAAGCCATTTTGTTCGTCCTCGTCTCTGTGTGACCATCAATTTGGATAGAAGCAGCCTCGCTGATCTTGTCTAGATAGGTGAAAAACCAAGGCCGATGATGCCGTAATTCGGTTCCACGACATGACAATTTCATCGCCATCTAATGTTATGACATTTCGCAGCAACGTTTATCGGAGCTTTTTTTCCCCTTCACTAGAAACAAATGGCGGAAAATAGACTACAAATTGACTGGAAAGTGGCTACCGCACTGCCAGGATCATCTTTCATCCCGTGCACCTATAGTCCTTAATAGAAGAAATCTTCCTGACGGCTCGGATTTATTCTGTCGCTTGTATTGCATCCGGGCGCTGGTGCCTGTCTTGTCAGGATCAACAACATGGGTGTAAATGAATCAGGAATGGTAGACAACACAATAATTAATGGTACACCGGGACCGCTAAAAAAGGCATTTCCTTTGGGACATCAAGAAAAGGTGATCTTTTTAACAGTGGACGTCCTTCTGGTTGTCAGCATCGTGTTAGGTAACACTTTAGTTATTTTATCAGTGTTACTTGAACGGCGACTTCGAACACCAACCAATGCGTTTATTGCAAGTCTAGCCGTAGCTGACTTAATGGTTGGGATAATTGTTATTCCCATTGATATTGCCTTTGGTTTGGGTTACGCCACGGACATCCAACCTTTATCTTGCCTGGCTAGTAGCAACGTGCTTACCACCATGATAATCGTCTCCATACTTCATCTGACGGTGATTGCGTACGACCGGTATCTAGCTATCACAGACCCACTGTCTTACGTGATGAAGATGAGTCGAATTCGAATTATCTTGCTGATTGCCATCGCGTGGGTTACAGCGGTTTCTCTCTCTGTAATGCCGTTACTAGGTTGGAACAACCTGCAGCATTTCAGCCACGGCTACTGTGATCTCTTGTTCATCCACGCGTCTAGCTACCGTTTCTTTTCGGTGTCTGTTAGCGTGATTTGCCCGCTGAATCTGATGTTGTTCTTCTACTTTAAGATGTTCCGCGTGGCCAAAAGACACATGAATCGAATCGCCGCCCAAGAGGCCACAACAGCGAGACGCCCAACTCTACGCCGAGATGTCAAGGCGGCTAAGACAGTTGCAATGATCCTTGGCTTCTTCTTAGCTGCCTGGACGCCCGCCTCTCTGATCTCAGTCCTCGACACGTTCATCAAAGTGGATGCCAACTTGGAGGAAAAACTGCTGATATACGAGTTGACCTTCTTTCACATTGCCTTCACCAATTCGATGGTCAATCCGGTGATTTACGCCTTCCGGAACAAGGAGTTCCGCCACTCTTTCATGAAATTAACCAGCGCTGTTTTCCGATGTGGATGCTGGATTCGCCGTGTCCGGGCTGCGGCCAGAGGAGTAGAGATGACCGGTTATCAGGACCACATCTCAGGAAGTGTAACAATCAACAGACATGGGATAGAGAACACCAACGCGAACATTGGTTCTAAGGCACTATCCATGAGGGTTGAAAGTTGCCATTCTATCACTTCTGTTCAAAGTTAAAGTAAAAATTATACTTACTGCCCTGTTTGAAAAGCATAAACTACATTAAGTCCCAAATTACATTAAGCCCAATCTAGAAAGAAAATTTATACTGCTCAATCGAATCTTGGAAACGCATGCTGTCAAAATTGCCGTCATAGTTACGTTCTTCATGCCTAACGGTCTGTGAGTACTGAGAACAGATACATCAGCTTCAAGAGTGTATCATAGTAGAAAGGCCTTACGGTGATTAGTCAAGGTTAATTAATTACAGCAACGTATAGAACATTCATGTAACCGTGGACCAAAACCCCTCTGAGGTTTTGGGCGCCAAACCTCTCTAAACTCTTTGCAGTTTGCACTCACCCTATACAACTCGATCACATTAAGGTCGTAATTTCATCACTTCGCACTCATTAATTCCACCGCCATCAGTGGTTGATTATTGGCAAAACTGATGTTTTTCCTGTTAAATGACTTCCACAAAAGGAGTTTATTCGCTTCGCGTGAATTAATAAAATTGTTTGACAGTTTCCACGTGAAGGTCACAAAAGGTAATGACAGTCACGCGATGACTTTCAGGAAATTTCCAACCTAAAGTTGTATAATTCCACGGTCTATTTACTGTATATCGTCCAGTCCTTTATGTGCATTTCATTCACAAATTCACACGCACATGTAGTTGCGTTAAGGTAACCTACCTAGATTGCTACTTCGTGCGTATTGTATAATTATCAAATTCAATACTTTGTATCATGTTTGTTCACGATTAAATTCATCCACGTATTATCCAGCACCTGCACATGCTGTAATTAGCTTTAAAAGCTTGGTATTTGTCAACTTGTGCTTGTGCAGTTACACCCATACCCGTTTGGATTTCAGCCCCCCCCCCCAAAGTTCTTTGAACTGTGGTATGTGAACGAGACGCAGCCTCCAGGAAGAACAGTAATGATGAGGTTGACCTGATCAAATAGCCTGAGCACGATATAAATCAATTCATGAAAAGTGTATTACACCAAAGGAATACAATATGGGAAGGTTTGTCAGAGTTAATTGATAATGTGTAAGCAGCTTTCTGAGTCGAAACACTGTGAATCATATCTATTTTTGATTGTTGTCAATTACTTAGATGACCAATTACCCAAAGGCTTCCGTTATGCTCCACAGTGTTTCGTTACTATGTAAAGATTTAATATATCCATCTTGTGTTCATTTTGGTCCACTCGCACGGTCATCTTTGATTGCTCACTGCAGTGACATCAATCATGTTACGACAGGTCCATTCAGTTGTTTTTCTACCAGCATAACGACGGCGGTCGCAACCAGCTCGTGACGGCTCTATAAAATTCTAGACTTCATCAGATAAAGCTTTTGGGAGCAAAAATGCATCAAATAACAGCACAGAATGCTGTACATTATCAACAACTTGGAAATTTGCCACTATTCAGGTGAGCAAAAACCGACAGAAATTTTGTCTGCAATGCAACAAAAGAATCGGTTTGATTTAAAAAGAAACGCTGCATTTTCTTGCTTTAATTAACTTATTCAAAAATAATACCCACGACTTTCATGCAGGCGTGACTTATATACTTCCAGAAACTCCAAAGAAATGTTATAAAAGGCTTTTACGTGACATAAATAACCGATTCTTCGTCATTTCTAAATCCAATGCTCTGACCATTTAATTTGGGGTTTCCTTGCGACCAAGGTTTTTGATCAAATAGAAAGTTGCCCCTGTCGTGTTTACAGAGCTAACTATCACTCCTTAAAGGTTGGGAATGTGGAGACTTAACGATTTTAATCAAATTGTCAGATACTGTCTTAGAATTCAATCGTTCTTGTACTTGTCACGGAGTCGTCGATGCAATGGTATTTCGAGCGTTAATACAAGCCACGAGATTTCCTATGATACGCAGACGAATACCTCTGACAAACTGTCGCCCCGACGTTTTCTGCGAACTGAAATCTAAGAGATATGGTTACTAACAGGTGAAAACGGAAAAATGTTGGCCGAAATCAAAATAAAGTAAACTCTGTGGGACTTGGTAACTTGCCAGGAATAGTCTAGGCCTGTGTATTATTAAAGCAAAAACAAAGGAAACTTGATTAGATGGATGCTCCTAGACGGGGAAAAACACACAGCAGGGAGAGTTAATTTAACTATCAAATAACGCACCGTTAATGTAGAGCGAATTGACCAAACCCGGTCAGGGTTGAAGATAACGAGTTGATACAGCTCGGTTGTTTGCCCAGTCCTGGCTGACGAAAGTGCGCGTGCTTCTCAGCCAAATAATAAAGTACGGTTATTTTCAAGTTGCTATGGAAACAGGCAACATGCCAAGCGCCTTATTTACTTCGTCTCCAAATCAAACTTGACTTTTTTTGAAGATCAATCCGCTAGGACCAAAGGACCGGGTCTTTATCATGCTCATATCGATTTCAGTCGAAACAAGCCCATTGCTATCTACGCCATCATCTTCGTCCATTAAAACCCTTTCTCATGACGTCACCCTTATTTTAGGCCGTCTTTCGGCAGTGCCTTTGGCTTTCAACTGCACCCTAACCAGTAGTTAAAGAGACTAATAACAAATTTAAACGCGGCATATGGGATATGCCATAGATGATGACTTCGTGTGAGTTATGAGCGAAGATTGAATCTTTGGTTTACGGCAGAGGATATTTACTTCTTCGTGTCACGTGGTTTTGATGAACTCTGTCTGGTGCCAGGTTTCAACAGCAATAAGGAATCACCGCTGTCACGTGACCAAAATATTTCCCCAAAGATCCCAATAACCCAACACTTTATGAGAATATTTCTGTACATTTTGGAGTATTGTCGTTAATGTCGGTGAATAAGTCATTTGCAAGTTAAATTTGAATAAAATCTGGGACAGTTCTTTAAATTCATGTGAGCATAACAATTTGAATTCTCTATACTAAACGCACTGTTGCTATACCTCGTGATTTGGGGCAAGCTTTTCCTTAGTTACATAATAGACGCCTTGTACCAATACACTGTTTTAAATGGATAAGATGAGCACTAAGGAACCAGTCCATACCAAAGAGAGTGGTCGCTACACAAAAGATTGCCCTGAATCACGAGGTGTAGCAACAGTGCCCTTAGTCTGGGGAATTCAAATTGCTAAGTTAAGTGTAATCAATTAACTCAGTGTACCAGATTTTATTCAAATGTAACTCGCCAAAGGCTTATTGTCCCAAAAACTTGCTCTTCAGTAACCAGCAACAATGTCCAGTCAAGTCGATATATAGTCGAGAATGCAAGAGTCCTCGCACGTATAATGCTGAGTCCTCACGACTCATTGCGCGTCTATTTTTAAAAGAAAAAGCGTAAACTCCAGGGGACTGCACGAATCCACGCACGTGTAGTGCTGGGTCCTCACGACTCATTGCACGTCTATTTTTAAAAGAAAAAAACGTAAACTCCTGGGGACTGCACGTGGTCACCACGTGCGAGCCGACAACCCGCGCCGACTTTCAAGCGATCTTTGCCTGCAAGGATGGGACGGGCTGGTGTGACGTTTTTCAACAGTGCTGACAGGGCACTCACGCAAAGACGATACATTCAACCAGAAACTGGTAACAGGCAAAACGCACATGAACCTGTACATACACGAGGTAAGTTCAAATACACCATCAAAACACTACCATTGTTCTTCATTACATGTATTAAGATAAATGCATGGTTCCCAACACTGATCTCCATTTGTACAAATAAAGATCAAAGGTTCCCACCAAAGAATGCGTCATCAATGTAGATTCAGCAACGACTACAGTTTACTGCCCGTTATTTCAGTCGGCTGCATGAGACGCCAAAATAAACAGCGACTTCAGGACGAGCTAAAACACAACAGTATCTTGATCAGCAAACTGCAGGGTCATCAGCGTGCTTCAATTGCGTCTGAGTAGATGTGGCAAACCGTGACAAATTGTGAACACGAGACTTTTGTCAACCAATCACACATTCCTAATCTACACAACCATAGGACGCAGAGGTCCTGCCCAATCAAAGACAATTAAGGTTTTCAATCCGGATACCATCCCAAGGGCTGTCCTTGTGATTAATTGTAGATAGATTCAGCAGCAGATTCTTAAGAAACAGGTATTTGTGAAAATCCTGCCACTATCGCCCGTTCCTCATTGGCTTTTGGCTAAACTTCATTGGCTTATTAACGAACTCTTGTCAAGTGATTTCTCTTTAAGTTACACGACACGACGACTTGGCGTCACAAAAAGATGACGAACGAAGCCTTTTCCTCTTTACTGTGATTGGCAATGGTGAAAACGTCCCTCAACGCAACTGAGAAATAAATGTACAGTCAAATATCACGAAGAACTCTACAACAAGCAATGCATGTTCTGTAGTCCATTATGCATTGTGAACCTTGATCTACCAGACGGGTGCTTCAGGGTATTGAGAAAACTGCAACAAAGATTTCAGAAATACCTCGAAACAAGACAGCCACTTATCAATAGCCATTGCTTTGACAACTGCAATATAATTGCAATCTAACCTTGAATCTGAAAGCTCCAGAACTGAATACATGCCAATGGGACTTGCACTTTATTTTGAAGAATTGTTTGCCTAAAGCCTCTGTCGAGGTCAAGGCGAATTCGTCTGTCAGTGAAATCGAAGATTAGTGAAATGTCCAATAGCCCTACATGAGGAAACTATTCACTGATGGAAGTAAATTACCAAACATTTCTATACCTTTCCTGAAAGTGATTGACTACTGAGTAAATTGACCGGAACTAAAGACACATGTTAATGAAATTGACGAAGAAAACGACTTCTTCCAGGTTTACATTAGTTATTCAATTTCCTATATTCGCCACATTCACAGCTTTACCTTTCCCAAAGACGGAGATAACTTTAAAACAAAACAAAAATGCCATTTCTCATCTTGTAATAAGGCTACAACGATGGTCGTGTTTCTCAAATGTCATGCCTTTGGTAATACTAATCGTATACACAGTGTTGGAATTAAACCGTTGGTTGTTGCGTATGAATACCCGTGCAGTTAGTAAGTTTCTGACAGCCGGGTCAATACAGACATTTCTCATTTTATTGGCGATGGATGAAATGGCTTCCGTGCCCTCGATCTCGCCAAAAGCAACACCTTACATTACTTGTCCAAAGAGGTTTGAGGAGAGAAAAAAACTTCTTTGCACTAGATGACGTTGCTTGGTTTTACATAGACAGGCTTGAGTTCCTTGAAAGGGCTAAAACAAATACGGTAAATATCACACAGACTAGACAGCCTTCCATAAAATGCAGCGCGTTCTACCAACGAGGTGTAAAAACAAAATGTTACCAGTCCTGACCGTTAACAAGCGATTCTCATTGGGCTTGAGCATGATAGATGAAACCCTTAACAGTGTGGCTGTTAATGGGCAATCGAATTGTCACCAAGCATTCCAGTCGGGCGGAAGTGTTCAAAGTCGGAATGTGCGCCATATCATTCCGACACTGTGTCGAGGATCACAGGTTGTAGCAGTATGTGCTAAGTGCTTGACACAAAATAAACAAGCGTTTCTCAGTTGTAAACGTTAACTGCCTCGGCCTTCTGGTTGATTACAGGCTGATTTTTTCCCCTCTGGAACAAAACAAACCTCATATATCGTCCGACCTATCATGCATTTCAGATTACTTTAAGGGTAAAAAATTCCAACAGTCACATCTACGGCGTCAGCTCGAAAGCTATAAAAAGTCACAATCGATTCGGCATCGACAAATTTATTGCCCGCTTTCCTTTCATTGTGATAAGGATTCGCTTATCATTGGCTACATTGTTCCAGTTGTTATTAAAACTGCATCAGATAATTTACAGATATAATTAGAAATTATCCCCAACTCACCATTATTAAGCTCCAACTCAATCTTGCTGCTGAATTGTATAACTAGATACTTGTATAGCTCTAAGGTTAGCCAATCTCTTCTCCATAACCAATACTTGAGATATTAATGTTATTGTATAAATTTATTATTACTATTATCAGAAATGCTTTGTTTGTATGAAATGCCTTGTTTGTTAGAATCGAAGTTTGGAGCTGTATATGAAAAGATTTAATCAGAAAAATTGAAAAAGCATGAAATCACCTTCCTCAACTAAAAGAATTAGGTCACAGTAGTGAAACTACACTAGAAAACTACAAGAACGATCGTTCTATCATATTTTAACCGAGCCACATTACAGGTACATGTATAGGTCCCTTGTAAAAGCGACAGTGTATTCTGTAGCAGAATCCGTGGATCATTTCGTTTCTATAACTTATCAAGAACGAATATACCAGTGAACGTCAATAAACACATTAGCATTTCTCTGGGCGAAAGATTTCTTCCTATGTATATACCTAAACAACCTATGCACATGATTCTTCATAATTCACGGTGTTAAAAATTATTGAAATCTATGGGCCTTGTTGAACTCCTGTCAGAGCTACCTGGGTTTTAAATCTAAAGAGTGGACCGATTTTTTTCCATCAGACAGAAAAGATCGCCACAGTCATCGACACAAAGACTGTCTCGATTTGATTAGATGACATGCATCAAATCCCGTTCTTTCACAGTTCAAAATGTTTTTTTTAACTTATGTGCAATAAAATCAACACAGCACCGATATTATTTCAGAGACGTAAGCTGCAGTGTAAGAGGCCGTGGAAAATTTGGCCAAATAATTTTGGAAACCATGTAGGATGGTCCATTGGTATTTAATATATGTACACGGGTACCACTGGGACGTTCAGAATGCTTAATAAGGGGTGTGGTTTCCTGAGCTCTTAGCATCAACGTGTCACGCCATCTACGGAAGACTTGACTTCAGTTGTGATTCATAAATGACAGAAAGACATCCCAAAGGAGAATGAAGACGTTGACATAGATTACTCGCAGCTGAGGTGGAACAAGAAAGAAATTGATGGCCTGAACTGGGGGCCACACTGCAATGTCCACCTGAAAATTAAAGACATACATAGTCGTCACTTTGCTATCGTCTGAAAACATCATCCAATGAGGGCGGTGCAGTCTTCTGCCATTTGCGGCAAGTTTCAGGAAGGGCCAATGATTAGCTCTGGGTTGATTCGTGACGAACGGTACCATTAGTATGCCCGCAGGCACTGAAGTCCAAAAGTCCCCTGTTGAACTGCCATAAGATGTACATTGTACTGACTTCAATTTATTTATATTTTTATCAATATTGTGGAACATAAAGATAAGTATGTCACTACACACAGCTAGACATCCGCTCATAAACACCGGAACGGAGCGCAAGGTACTATGGGGTTATTTCTCCAAGTTGCCCGACAACTTCATGAAGCACTCGCGGGAAGTTGTTTGCATCACAAGATGGGTGAAAACTTCTGTGCGCACTTCACAAATGTGCACCAATAGCATACATGAATCAATTAAGGCAGCGGACGTCCTTGATAACCCTATAGACCTTTTCACCCACGTGACTAAATGTAAACAATACCACCACGTGTGGACCGCCTTGGCCACAATGATCGTATATATTCCTACGGGCAGCTTCAACCACGTGCAAGCGCACGTGCGAACGCTGCATGCTTGACTAGTTTATCTTGAATAGGTAGATTACCATCACAACGCTAAGCACTCATTACCATCACAACACATCATAGGTCCAGCACGATCGTGACGTCACTGGAAAAGGTCTATATGCTTCTTTTACGTCTGTGAAAAAATTTCGCCCTTTCAAGCGCCCCATTATATTCATTGTAAGGACTCCCCAAAAAGGTAAAAGGTGGCTGCTTCTTCGAAGCAACAACTCTTAGCATTTGGCCGTCGACCGTGTGCTATTACACGACACTTTTAATGCACCTTCCTAATTGGTTTTTGGACACCTTTTTAATGCTAAGGCAGCACTGATGTGCCCAACTGGCCCAGTAGTTCCACACGTTCAAATCATTTGCATTTTGGTACCGCATTAACTTCAGGTATTTGTTCTTGCATACTATCTATGGACAGTGAATGCAATTGACTTGTGTGTTAACTTTCAACATTACCACACACTGATCTTATTGGTTTCCTTGGATATTACTGGTATTTTATTACACACAAACAATTGAAAAACAGCAAACCAAAACAAAACAAATCCAAATGTAAAACTCAGAACTGATTGAAATGATAAAGAATTCTATACGCGGTCAAAAACAATTTAAGCAACCGCTGTTTCAGCAGAGCACAGTAATAACCTTAAAATGTTAACTAATGTTGCAGAAAATTTACACATCCAGATGGGGAACATGTCAAAATTAATGAAGTTAAAAATAATACTTAACATTTGAACAACCTTCTATAACATTTCAAACACGGTTGTCTATATGCCATGCCTAAACTGCGGTTGTTTAAATTATTCTAACAATATACAAAATATACGCCCACAGCAACGTAAATATTAATCTTTTTCAATATATCTGTACATCTGTGATGCAACCCTAAAGACAGAAAACCAAGCCAGTTTTCAGTATTTTTGGTTCACACAAAAATTATACGTCATGATAGGTATAGTCAGAACATTATTATACAATAAAATCTGCAAATGCTCAGCTGCCAAAATATATTAACGTGTACATGGTTCTTCACATGCATTATATGGAGAGATTTATTTCAGAAAATCACTTCAAAAATACTTTCTTCCTTCTGTTTTATTGTAACTCAAATCGCAGACAGTATGACCATTAATAGAGAATTTTCGACAAGGTAAATTATTCGTCAAGTCAGGAAGAATTCACCACAAAACTAGCCACATTATGCTTGCCAATATATACGTAGGCCTATTATGCAATTTCGAAAAAAAAATACACCTGCAAGAATTTTTGTTTCAGACTCCAAATATACAACAGAAATGAAATGTCGTGAATTCAGTCTTTTATTCAACCTAAGGTCAACAGCCTTATAGTTTTGGTAACGTTTATGCAAGGCGCCAAAAACCTTAATCCGTTAATTTTTAATATTAGTTGTAGTATAAAATACTGTAAGGTGATGTACCATGAGAGCATGGTTCCAGTTTGTTGGGCTGGGTGGCAGTGGAAACTGAAGGGCGACACATTACTGTCACCATTTTTAAAAAGTCAATCCAGTGAAACACACAAAGATATAAAATTGAAATAAAACATCAAATGCTAAAGAGTACCAAAGTGTGACGACATTTTTGACGATAGTGCACGCGTGTTGGTTCACACGCTGGTTCCTTATACTAAAAGCCTTATTTAATTACACACACACAAATGTGCGCGTGACGTATTTACATTGGTAGTCTAGCCCTACTGCTGCCATTTTGTAGCGATGTCGCAACTGTATCTCCAGTAAAATTAATTAAAATACGGTAGTAATTTAAACATAAACAAAAAAACTCTCGTCAATCCGAAGCAATTATTTTTCAAAAATTGATGACTACATGCCCGCATAATCATGTGACGCTTCATTATGAAAGCCTTTCACACCATAGATTTTAAATGGCCCGATGTACAATACATCGGCCTCTTACTTGCACCTATAAAATAAATTTCGGGGTATAATTTACTCTAAGTAAGCAATAAGCTTAATACAATGACCACCCGTAAGAATCAAAAACAGAATAGAAAATTGTTGGAACAGCAAAGAAATCTTTCAATGCTGTCACATTTACGATGTATGGAGCTAAGTGCATATGCAATACCACCAAGAATCTCAATAACATGTGAAGAGGTGTACAAGCATAAATGCTTTTACACCATCAATTTCTCTCCGTTAGCAAAACTGCCATTTTATTGGGAAAGAAGCTTCAACAACACGCATACTGGCACAGACAATCAAGTAAAATACATCAGAACAAAAACCAGCAGCGCGTACATCTGTTTACCTTTGATTTGGTCAAAATGTACTACACCTGACCCGACGCACTCAGTACCACCTGCGCTCACACAATGTCATCAACACTGAAGAAAATCTTATGTAAACAAATGTCATGTATTTCTATACTCTATGCAAATACACAAACAATGATCGCCGATTACCATACACAACTATAATTTAAGATAGACACATTAATATTAAATAACGATTAATTATACATGTGCATGATTTTATACATTTTTAAGGAACAGCACCATTGGAATATTTTATTCTGGAAATTGCATTCAAAATGGATCATGGACAATTTCACTAAAACATTAAAATAAAAATTGTTAAAAAATTCTACGACTGGAGTCAAACCTTTGAAATATTTCATATTTAACTAATTTTAAATACACATATATTTCACTGATTAGCTAAATATTCAGCATAAAACTGAACTCTTTTTGAGGTGACAATCACTGTTTTACCATTAGTGCTTTGGTATGAGAGAATCCGCAGTAAATCACAAAAAAGGTTTATTGGGTTCTATTAGAGGAAGATTTCATCGTGGATCAAAAATAAATGTTTCGGTTAATAGGCTGAATGTTTGCATAATTTACGGATTCAGATTGACAGTTTCAATATTCTTTGCTTCATACAGAACCTTCAGAGTCACTGTAGCAACGCAGTTTCTCCCTTTTTAAAAATCTTATTTCCTGGAGCAAAACAGAAAGCTAAATCAAGAAGTACCTACTTCAACATTAATGAATATTTTTATGGTCGTTAATCACATTTCATTATTACTCATGGATTATTTGTAAGCGCTGCGATTATACTACGTAGCGTGTCTCTGGATGTTGATTATTAAAATTATCAAGTACAGTCATGAATGGAAGACTGTGAACTAATTGCAAATTCCTGCTACTTAAAAAAAGCTTCCAACCAGCAGTCAATAGACCCCCTACCTGTTCAAAAGCTCCGCGCGAATTCATCAATGAGCGGCCTTTGTGAAGAACTTAACAGAAAACAGTAGGTCACAAATTATATCCCCGACAAATTACATCGATGTAAGTATGTACCGTATTCAAATTGCTTTACCCTCATGTTGTACTACGACGCATAACGACTCTTTAAGCATTATCAGCTTCAGGCAAACTTCCCTATATCTGATCAAGAACTCAGTCAGCGTTTGTACTGACCTTGAATTCATTTTTGTACTAAATCAACTTGTGTATAAATGTGCGGCATTAATATGGTCATCATAAATGACCTTTAAAATCCACACGTAAAATACATGAACAATGGCAACCTATAAAATTGGCAAATAGGGTACGGCATTATTCTCAACGACTGTTCTTGTGCAGTGACAGTAATTGAGGAAGCGAAAATTGATTCGAAATCAATCACTCGCGTTCCGTACATGTACATGGAGTCGTAGATTGTGCCTTGTAATTGCCAAGGGGTCGATCATATTTACATTGTCTTCCTAACTGAATCTATTTCGCCCATTGACCAACATGTGTCGTGATGAACTGAGGGACAAGTAAATCCCATCGACCGCATGTTTCAGCCAAGTTTGTTGAAACATGCCATGGATGGCATTTACATTGAGGGCCAACCTCGCTACCTGCAATAACCAAATTGTCCCTACTCTCGGCTTTATCTCTTGCCGATTAATTTGGTTAAATAATTTTTTGCAGTGTATTTCCAGAGATCCTTTTAATCATGATGCAAAATTATTTTTGTTGAGTAACCGGTTAAATTACATTGAGCTTCATATCGAATCTTCGGCTGGGGTACGTTGTGCAGTCGGGCGGGAAAAGTTGAGGACAGTACATGCCTTTAGTTCACTCTCAAAAAGAAAGAAATGGGAGTTCATCAGTGGATTTCATAGACATTCCATTTAGCTGTTAGTGATTTCATTATTGCTGTTCTCTTCTACGTCCCTTCATTAAAAGATGGGTAGGCAAGGAAGGTAAGTTTGGTGTCGGATATGGCAAAGGACAACACAGAAAACCAGTGACATATCTACTAATGGTGGCCATTACCGGTAACCGAACCACTGCCACTGGTCGTGCAAGGACAGGCAAAGACTACAGGTCTACGTGGTATTTGTGAGTGAGCGCGGACAACGCAGATCCGGAGTCAGCCTGCGTGTAGCGCAAATATTAACAGGTGTTGAAGTCCGTAAATTTACCTTGGAGTTATGAGCCTCTTCCAACAATAAAACGCTGTGAATTCATCGGCAAACCCCCATCGAGTAGTGATGTCACTGCAGTAAACTCGAGTTTAATAAGTTTAATAATTACATGCATGCTACCGGGGGGGGGGGGGGGGGGAATTCAACGGCGATATTTCCGGTGAAGGATTGTTTCCATAAGACTAACTTTGGATGAGCTTTGAAGCTTTTGAGGTAGCAAGTAAGTTCCAGAGGTTTGCGGTTGCACCATGCAAGAATATCTCTAAGTATGTGTGGTTCTGAAAAGAACCGGAGGGTACTTGACGTTTTGGACAATATGCAGTAACTTAAAAGATTAACTTTGACCTGAACCAAATTATCTTTACACTTATTTTCTTCTTCTTTCAGTTTGTCATGCGTTGGCAAATACAGACGGCATTGCTTTTTTAAAGATTTTAATATATCCTGTTAATTCACATTTCTACGTCTACAGCGCCACACAAAAAGTAACACCCGTTAACGGATGTGGCATTTTAACGCAGATGTATTTTCCAATCAGGGTCTCCCAACCATGGTTCCAAAAAAAGCACAAGATTGGTTGCTTTCTCGGAAACAGCAGCATGTTGTTCTTCTGTTTGGGATCATTTAGCATTCCAACTTTTGTGATATTACCAATGCTATATTCCAATACCAATTTTAGAATGGCAGCTCAGTTAAAATCAGTTAGGTTAAAAATCTTTGAAATAACAATGATCATATCAAATTCTGACCAAACTGCTTTTCTCTATAAATTTTAAAAAGCGCCACCCAGGAGTGTTTGATGGCGATTTTTAGCTCCCGAAGTCAAAGTACATATACATGTACAGATTTGCTAGAACACCCGTATTTGGGAGACCAACTCATATCTTCCTGCTGCCATACTTAGACAAAAAACACTTATTTACACATCCAATTTTGATTTATATTCTCTGAAATATATATTAATTCTGAAGCTTTGCTAAAACGCTGATTTCCATAATTACGCGTATAAAATTTTCTGTACGAATAAGAAATATTTTTTTCACCATTTGAAAATTTCTAGATAGGTGGACGGTAGGAAGAAATCATCGTCAAGTCTGGTAAGTGTGGATTATGAAGGATAAGAAGGTGTCCCAGACGAGCGTGACTGCATTGACGTAGAGGACTCGCAGATGCATTGGCACGAAGGCAAAATTGATGGCTTGGCACGCTGGCCAGACGCACCAGTCGATCTAAAGGGGGGAGGGGCAAGACAGAACAGGGGAGGGAAATAGCACGATGGGAATGGTAAAGACGGGTACCGGTAATAAGACGTAGCACAGATACACGTGCACACAATGAGGTACATTTTAGAAGCTGGCGGAGCATGGATGTATTGAGGAATGAAAACCCATCAATGATGGCGATTCGGCAGTGAAATGGGGAAAAAATGTTGGGGAGTGACTTGTTAAAGAGTAGCCGCAATTAATTTTTCTTAGAAAAAAAAATTTTCCTGCAACTTTGTACTCTTCTTCAGTGTACATGTATGGTCACATTTTACACTCCCATTTGGTTTATTGCACTGATAATTGCACACCTGAGGGCGCTGTTACTGTGATGTCATCCAGGGAAGACAGAGTTTATTGCACAGTTTTTCTATTAAAATTGTGAAAGCAGAGTTTACGTACTGGAAACATTTCTGATTAAGGGGTTGGTTCTCAGTTATTGCATGCACATAAAACAACAATGAATCAGCGAAAAGGACAAAATTTAGTCCAGGAAAATCTACAAAAATGGAGGACTTTTTGTGTACAAACCAATGTAACATTCAGGCTTCTTCCTGGATGACATCACAGTTTTGCTCACAAATACACATGTGTATAAATACTCAGTAGCACAAAAACACATTGATTGCAGCTACCCTTTAAAGGCAAAATGAGACATGCACATCCAAAAGATACCAAAGTGAACAGAAACTGACGAAGTTTCCAAGTTTTTGCATGCACACAACCATAAAAAAGCACTGTGTGTCAGGCTTAAAACACACCACATAGCTATTATAAAACGTATCAGCAACGTAGCAATGGTTGAAAACTACTTTGGCTCACACAGCTTGACTCGAGGCAACTAAAACGGTAAATATCACAATATAGCTTGCACGCAAACTCCATGAACAGAAAACTCACAATTTTAAATTACAAATAATACAGCTAAATCGGAAGTTTACAGTTAATTCTATGTGACGAAAAACGTTTCATTTGTGCAAATGACACAATAGACGAGGCTTTAAGGGTCTTTTGTTATGTCAAACATTACCCCAAGGTGAAGATATGTGAATCGAACTAGATTTCTCAATTTTGATGGACCAACTTTTTTCGGTGTTACATGTAGGTTTACAATGTGCAATTTTTCATGACTTTGTGAAAAAGCTCGTTCAGTATGCAACACATCGTCTACATCCAGCTTTGTAGAGGTATATGTAGGTCTTTGGTTTCGAACTACAGTCAACTGTGGCTATAAACTCCATGTAGGTTGCTGTGGCTACATATAAAATGGTAAATCCAAAAATCTAACCTAAATCAATGCATAGATACACATGTAGACCTTCGTCTGCAGTATAGCAAAGAGGAATTCACCGAGAGAATGGGGCAGCTCAAGAATGCTACACAGTGTCGTTAAGGTATGAGACTAATTCTGATTGAGGATTAACTCTAATATAACGTACTCCAAGGAAAGTGCGCTGAATTTGCTGGCTAGATAAAGGAAATGATTGATGTTATCTTCACCCCGTTTCCTCCGCTCAAGAAGAGGACAACACCGCGTGGTTTCTACCAAATGTGTTTAAGCTACGAACGTGCAGGTATACATGTCAATGCATTAGGTGGGTTAAGTAAACAATGGTGACAAAAAAGTGCAATCTGTGTCACTGTGAAGCTGACTCAGGTGAATTGAGCATTTTGTTTGACAGGCAGCCATATTCTTTCTTGGTTCCTTCCTTGACGTTATCAAAATCATTCACCCAATGAAACGGCTACAATGTTCAACAGCATAATATTAATATAAGTCTATTACTGATTGATTCAGTACTTTTAAAGATAAAATATGGGATTGATCACTAACATTTCATAACATAACACTAACATTCAATCTTTGATGTTATGCCACATGTATACTTTGGGTGTATAATCTCACACTTAAAAAGAAAAAACAATACAGTAATCACATGCATGGCTACAATGTAACCGTCAAATGAAACGACTCACAACTTAAAACTGATAAAAACCTAAATAAACAAAAAAACGACACACAAGCATGACAAGCCACATGAGAATGGATTTCCGGAAAACTTCACGTGACAAACAGTTCCTTGTTTTCAACACACAAGTCAATGTAACACCACTCATCCATGGATGTTGCTTCGTTCGATAGCAACGGATGGATCATTTCACCATGGTTTGTTTGGCATACATGTAGTAATCAACACCCACCAGTCTGAGGGGATATGTTGCATGTCATACATTTACATGTAGTTACGCGTTCACAGTGACTGCAAACAGCACATGAGCTATGTCTATTCACAGCTCAATGATCATGCATGGACTTTGTACTGTAATTGCGCAGGCTTTGGAAACAGATGCAGGGTAAATTAATTAGACTTTTCCATATTGGGGGAATGAGGAAGGCGTAAAGTAAGAGAACACTAATTGGTGTTGGAAAAACATTACACGGCCTCATCACCTACACTGGATATCCATCCCAGCACCGGATTAACATATTTCATGGTAACCAGCAAAAACATAAATGAAATGAAAAACGTTTGCTTGTTTTAATTGGTTAAACAAACACAGCTGTTTTCAATTATAAAACCAACTTGTCTGATTTGACGATTTTGATTGTTTTCTTGTTAAAATCAAAACAAAATAATGTATACTTTTAAGAGTTAATAATAAACATTTCGGAAAAACAATTCTAATCAATGCTAGACCGTTACTCATTTGCACTCTCTGCATTGAATTTTTGCAATTATTTTATCAAGCATTCAAAGAAGCAAATATGCGTGTGCATGTAGGTCTGTACTGGTAGACATGAAGCATTTTTGCAATCAAGCAAAAAAAACCACTCATGCGCATCCAATAACGAGAAAAAAAACACAAAGTACAACAAACGAAGGTCAGATTGTGATTTTCATCATGAAAATGATACATGTTTAATGTGCTTGTAACATGTATGTACATGTACAGCAATCATTTTGAAGAGTTAATGTCAATTTGAAGTGACTTAACACATCCTGAAATAGTTCCAAATCATTTGGATATATTCCACAACCACTCTGGCTTAGCAATTCAAAATCTGGCCAAGTTTGACTGAAATGAGTTAGAAGATAAAACCAGCGATGCTGATCATGCAGCACATGTACAGGTATGTTATGGCTAATTTCACATCCAAAAAACCCGATCAGCCATGGTTTATACTTACCATGTAAACAGTTAGGAATTTCTTCTTTAAGACATCAATACTGTCTGCTAGAGTCTTTCCTTCCAGTAATCCCATCCCTGAATAAATCAAAGATATCAAAGAGTCACTTTTGAATTTTATTATAAATAGATTTATAATATTAACCTAATTTAGAAACAAGTGATGCATGGATACATGTCCACATACATGATTTTGTACAAAACCCTTCACAAATTAAGAAATCGCAGGATAGAAGAAGTATAATCATATGAAAAACCACGTACTGATTTGAAGTCACACTTTTGCATTGAAATATTTTGTACAAATATTGGTGGATCATTTCGTAATCACATGTAAGTGTCTTTTATTTGAACCTTGCATACATGTATATAACATTATCTGGCATGCCAACACGAGCTCACTTCATCTCAATACCGGCAGGCTGTAAAGAAAGTTACAAAAACTACACAATGGGCAAGTCCGGGTGCACACAATTGCTTTTACAGAGATTACAAGCAGCTGAGTTATGCTTGGATCACCCAAGTTCAACTACAAGTACGTGTATTTGGTAAAGTTTTGCCATTAAATGCAGTTGACTTTGTCGTTTGTTGCAACTCGCGTGGTGCACAATGATCAATGACATCTTGTACTGTCGTTTGTTGCAACTCTCGTGGTGTACAATGATCAATGACATCTTGTACTGTCGTTTGTTGCAACTCTCGTGGTGTACAATGATCAATGACATCTTGAACTGCGTACATTTTCATGTTTGGTCCCGTCTGTTCTAAATTACATTGGCCATTGATCACCAGCAGTATGACCACACCCCGGGGCATGGTACCCCACACCCCAGGGCATGGTTCCAAAATGATAAACTACAGTTGACGGTCCAAATCATGGGCAATATTGGTCAAACTATAGTTGATTATATGTATAATTATTGCTGAAACTTATCCAAGGTTTGAGGCTTGCAATATACATGTATGCCGATCACATGTTTAAAATTTCAAAAAATTGTAAACAGAAGGATCACTTTATCAACAAAACCAGCCAGACAAGGCAAATCAAGCAAGGACTTGGGCCAACACATGTATTTTGTATTCAAGTTAACGTCTGCTTCAACTTGTAGTCTAGTTCTTGTCTCTTTTGGCCTTAGACTCACGAGGACACTTCCACAGAACAGCTTGCATGTAATGCGTTGTTCAGCATACAGGTAAAAAAGCCTTGCTCACTACAGACAGGTTACCAGCCAAAGATTTGTCACATAATGTCTATTACTGTATGTCGTCACCGATCCTCAGATGATAATGTTTCTAGCAACAAAACTGGCCAAGCACTATTTTCAGCAATGAACCTCCAAGACAATTTAACCCCTGACTCAATTACAGTGCTCACTATATGGCATGAAAAAGTTCTTCATCCTGACTGAAATCAACTTACCGACAAAAAAGGTGGAGGTCATGACTGGCGATGCTATGAGCTCATCTAGAAGAATCTTCTTGGCTACTGTTCTTCCTTTTACACCAGGAAGGAACTTATCCAGGGCCAAGTACCAATAGTGGTTGAGTGGCCCAAGAAAAATTCCTATTGTCAACATTCTACCTGCAATACAAAAAAGAATTGTGTAAAAAGACGTCTGAAGTTTTGAAGACCGGTCACAGTCAAAATGAACTTAGGTTTATTGTAAAAAAATTTTCAGAACAGAGGGGATGCCATAAAAGTCCTACGGCATAAACGTGTTCTTAATATTCAGGTTTTTCATCTCCTTTGGTCCTGTGCACACAATTCATTAATTAATTATGAACTGACTTCATTTAACATCCACTATGCAATCACTAGGAGTGTCGCATGCCTTGGTCAGAAATGGTGATTATGAATGGGCTATTATTCCTTCTGCTTCCAGGGTTTGTCGATGATGATTGCCAACACAACTGGTTTCAATTGGAGTGTCCTGCTGCTTCAGGAAAGTTCAACATAAATTTACGACAGTGCAACAAGATACAGGGGCAATTGTGCTATTACTGCAAATCTGGCATCTTCTGAAAGACTGAATATGCTCCAGCACATTTTAACATCTCGGGGGGGGGGTATCCTCAAAGTAATCATAAATACGGTTAAACTGATTTGCTGACACTTTTATCCCAAATGTCTCTCAAAGAAGGTTTCAATACTAAAAGAACTTTTATGAAGTGCGCATAGGCCTACAGTACATACAGGTTTTGATAACATGACTTAAAAAAAGTTGCCTACATGAATTGCATCTCACTGGCTACGCAAATAAAATCTCATATTCAACTCCACTCTATGCATATCTACAGATCAACATGTAGCAACTAACGTGCCAAAAACTTCATACTTTTTCTACATGCACATGTACCTCCCACCTGCCCACAATGACTTCACATTGTACTCGGTAATACTTTCCCCTGGTACAAGAACACCCATGGGGAGGGGAGAAAGAGGGCACCATTTTCCCTTTTTAAAAGTCCTCCAATTCTTACCTGCGACATAAATCAGGTAAATCAAATGGGGAAGATCAAAAACAACTGAAATTAAATGTAGTCCTCGTCCCAAGTAGCTCGGACAGGGGAATGGATACACAGATAAGTAGTGATGGATGGATCAGCACACACACATGACATATGACTCCCTATCCCCATTGCCAGCTGCAAAGTGGAAAGTAAGATTCATGACATAGGGAGGACTGATAAGCCATTTCGATGTTTTGGGCACGCAAGGAATTCTGGGATTGAATTTGGATAAACAAAACCCACATGGCACAGCCAGCTGGCGTTTCGTGCATGGGAGTTGTGCAGAAGCTTGCACGAAGATCGATCAGCTGTGCGAAGTAGTTGAACTGTAAGTACCTAATTAAACCAAATTTTCAGCTTTTTGTGCTGATCTTTGTCTAACCTTTGATAAAGTTTTTTAACAACCCACAAAGTGAGTTTTGCTTGGATCACGGCTTGGACAAAAGTGGGACTTTTGTAAGATATTTCCAAATGGATCAGCGTGCGTGTTCTGGTCCACAATGTCACATGTACAATTGTAAGGTTACTGCCACTGAAATTTTATCGTGTGTATTTTGTAACACATTTTACCCGTAAACAGGGCCCAACGAATACTCTTTAAAGGACAAAGGATCTTAATTATGAGCCTAGGCCTATGTACATAGGCCTACAGTGCAGTGTTACGGTATGGTCTGGGCATAGGCCTACGAGTACAAACGATGTACAAGTTTTTAATCGAGTTATTTTCAACTTTCCGCAGTGACATGAATTTTAAAAAAATTGAGGAGATTATGAGGTCACCTGTTGTATATATCCAAGGCACACAGTATAGTAGAGCGTCCTTTTTCTTTTGCAATCCAATGTGAATCAGAACAGAAATTCAAAAAACTTACTTACTACCCACTGCAAAACGTGCGTTGCTATGGAATGGTGCGGTTTGTTTATCCAAAAAAAGGGTTGTCAAGGCTGGATGGCACATGCGCGATAAAAACTTCAAAATGGCTTATTGGGTAGGCTCTATTTTCACGTTTCAGTCATGTCAGTTCAGCATGTTCAGTTATGCAACTCTTCTGCCCAATCTTACTTACCAGTCCTAATCCAGTTAAAAGTAGGTAGTGTTTCTTGTCCATCAACTTGTCCTATATGGTCCATACTCCCTGAAGCTGATACTTTTAACAGTAATTTCTTTTTGGCTATTCTGCGTTCGTTAACTTGCTGTAGTACATCACCTAGCGACAGCAACACGCCGCTGGAAACCGTGTTTGTTAGTAACAGATATTTCGGGGAAAACATCCGCTTGGTGAGGGTCCGAATTGCCCCAATCATGATGAATTTCTTCTTGTGATCTCTCACGTTGGCAGAAACATAATGCCATTTACAAAAAGACTGTTAGATAACGGCTGATCTTTTCGACTCAATTTCGTTCGTACAGTTGTCTGCTTTCACCGCCTTCAACGTGGCTTTCTGGGAAGTATATTTTCCTATTTGTATTGTGAGAATGCAACGTAATTATCAACACATAATCAGGAGCCAGACTAAAAGACACTAGGCAACGTTGAGGGCGTATCCACGAATACTCTAAAGGTGGCGCTATTTACATCAACGACTTCATTGTTTTTCATCTTTATTTTATGATAGTTCTATTTCGCAGTGAAACTAGCTGAAATACTTGTTAATAATCATTTTCCACATGGTGAAACCAGCACATACTTTCAAATCACCGATGTTTCGAGTGGAAACATTTTTAGAGATCACATTTATTCTGAAGACATTTATTATGAAGACATTGAAACTTCGATCAGAAATTAATTTTTTTTTTACTTTTAAAACAGTGATGACCATTATTCAGAATGTTATTCAATAAAAGGATTATTACCGATTTGTTGTGCACTATTTCACACAAAAATCAACAAGGCTGGGCTCTATGTGGCAGATGTTAGTTTAATTTTAATCTCAACGATAACAATAGCAACAGTGTTCTCTTGGGCGTTGCTAGACCATTTTTAATGGGGGGATTTGCCACATGAAATTTGCCATTCAACAGACCGTGTACTGTATCCTTCGTCCTTTCATCTTCATTCTCCGTTCTTTTTGCTTATGTTAACGACAGACTATGATTTTGTCGACAAAAATGAACCAATGGGGACGACACCCCTCCCTGCGACGACTGTAATTTTCTTCTGGTTTTATTAGTGATGCAAATGATGGCTGTTACACCGACTGAGGGTTAAAGCAAAATAGAATTGAAGTATCCTTGTGACCTTTGTAATCGACCATTTTTGTGACGAGTTTTGAGGATTTGACCTCTGACACTTAAATACAGGCAAATTAAAGGAAATTTCCCAATATTACTTAAGATTAATCCAACAAGTATACTTTCTTTTATTTTACTCGCACGTGTTCCAGGGGCGTGCAGTGTTCCGGGGTTTCAAAAACATTTAGACTGAACCCTTTCTTTCCTCAAAACACCAATGCCCCTCACTTAAATTTTACGCATGGATGGTAAATTATTATAAATAAAGCATTATCAAAAGGCGATTTGATAAAAACAGCAAGCCCCTGATGCTGATGAAGCTGCTTCAAGTTCGTAAGGCGACCACACCCAAATTTGATTGTCTTTTCGCATTCCGTTCAGTTCAGCCCCTCCACGACTGTCATTTTGTCTGTTTACTGGGCGAAGCTTGGGCGTCGGTTCAATTTGACGGGACCGACGTTCGGCCGAGCTGCGATAATAAACAAGGCCTGCTCCAAGAGGTATTCCTCCCAGGAAATGGTTCTGGGAATGGCAGAAAAAAATAATAAAAAGTCACAACATTTGCAAGTAAAGGGTATTTTATAAATATGTCAAACATAATTGTTCGCTCTCACATAACCATTGTCAGTCAATTCATGATCAGTCTGTATAAATGTGCACCGGCAACTGGACCCTAAAGGACAAACCGGTTTTTTGGGGTTATTTGCCATTAATTTGACAGCTTCTTTCTTTACAAACTGTTATGCATCTCTTTAATTTATGATTGTGTTATGTTGGTGTAAGCTGAGACAACAGAGTTTCAATCCCAATGTGTTCCCATGACGACGTGATAGCTCCCCAATCCATCAAATTATGACCTCATGAATCCTTACCCGGAGCCGTCTGTATCGCCGCTCATGAGCAGGTTGGTATTGGCGTCGACGTGAGTGTTCAGTTCCTTACTTCTCGCTAACCATATGTCCTCGGGTATCTTCCTCCTGTATTTCCACAACCGTCCGAAAAAATAAAATTGTTCAAAAATATCTTTGAGAAAAGGGTTCCATCTTGGTAAAAACACTAGTTCCTGAAAAAGTGTGACCAATACAAACCGTTTTTGAAAACCGTAACTTAAAGGACTTCGATTTCGGAAGTTCTCTGCAACTGTACAAAATCTTGGTTTCGAGTCAAAGAAAGACTATTAACTGTAGGTCTTTTGAAAGAATTAAATCATTTCCGCCAAAATTTAAAGTCAGTTAATCATTCAGCATAAACCAACCGCATGCACTATTAGTAAGGGGAACAAGTGACTAGAGGGAAAATCATTTTAGTCTTAGTACAACAGCACATAAACGACGAAGGAAAAACAAACGAATGGAAATATTATGATAAGTGTCACGGTAAAGACAGATTGAAAAGATTGATTACATTTTCAAATCAAATAAAACTATGGGGCACAAGTCTGATGAGTTTTTGTTAATTTCAGCTCACATCAAACAACATGCAAATTAATTTAGGTCTCAACACACCTTTTACTGTTTTCCTCATTTGTATGGTTTGTTTCACTGTCACTAAAATGATACAGGATTATACAGTTCTTTTATAAATCTGAGTCATTTTTTCAACATTTGACAGAGCTGTTCTACCTCAAACTATTAACTGGAGGATTACTAATAACAATCTCTTCATGCTGAAAGAGAGGAGGTATCATGCAGTGCGCGTGCGCAAGGAGATTTATGAAAAAAAAAATTGCCCGCTCTGCGTTAACATGAAATGTTGAAAAATAAAATAATACTACAAAGAACAAAACAAGCTAATTCTATAATTCTATAAGACAGGAAATACCACTGCACGCTGGGAAGGAGACACTGCATTCATGCACCAAGAATTAATTATCTCTTGTCAAACCTCTCACTGTCTTCACTGCTCGAATTCACCTCGTCCCTATCATTACAATTCGGTAAATCATCTTTTCTGTCTTCGCACTCGCTAAGGTTACAAAATGAAAAAGGGCTGGACAATGTCAAAATAGTAATTAAGAGTCCATTGGTTTTACATGGCTGTTTGTTCAAGCCTATTTGTTACTTAAAAAGGACTGTGACTGAGTGCGTGAATGGTTCAGTCTTCTTGCTTTCCCTTTATCGTCCAAGACAATTCTGCTTTATGTTTGCATCCACTTTAGGGACAAACACCATTCATCTGTAACGCTTCTCCAAGCTTCATAATATCGTGTGTAATATGATCCGAACCTCACTGTACATGCAGTTTCTATATGACGTTAGTTTCTGCATAATGGAACCCAAGTGCGAGTTGCTGCACTGGAATTAACGCAGGCCTATAAGAACTCAATGTCGCTGGTCCAAAAGAGTCACCTACACCAGTTTTGTAAAATCTTGCATGTACATTTTATTGGTCATAATTAATAAAAGCTTTATTATCCGAAAACTGATAGTTTGCCTGATTTTTTCGAAATAATTTTTCGATGATTCCACTAAGTGAACTGTTTTATTTTACAAGGATATATAATTGAAATTACTATCCTTTTCATTTTCATTATTCAGTCAATTTAAGTAAACATCTTTACCCTTATTTGTGTAAAAGTAAAGCAATCTGCATATTTCATAAAATTGTTCACATGTACTGCAGATTAAAAATTCTCAGCGAAATATAAGAAAACTATTGTAATAATTTACTTTTCCAATATGTAAGTAAAAAATAGTACCACTAGTTCTTTTAATGGAATTGATTTGTGCAAATTAGCGTCAATTCTAAATGCGTTTTTCTTGGGAAAAAAGAAAATACTTAGGTTACAGAGTGGGAGTAACCGGGAATTAGACACATATATCAGCCGGGAAAATAAGCCAAGCTTCAAGTCTAAAATTCAAGGTTTTTATTTTGTAAGATTAGAAGGTACTAAAATCTCAAGTTTGTCTGTAACCTGTAGAAGTCGTTTTATTAGATCAGCGACACATTGCTCAAGTGCATGCGCAATTACATGACACCCATTAAGAAATAAAAGTCTGTTTCCAAGAGCCATAGACGCTAGCAGAAAATGTTTGAGTTGGAACTTGTTCAGTTATTCGCGGTCATTTTCTTGAGACAGCATATCGATTTGCAAATATGTATTTTCCGCCCCAAAGCTCAGTATTCTTCGTCACAAATGGAATTGATAAGGCAATACAGTATCATGACTGGTATACTTACCTCTCTCTGAGTGTCATCTCGTTAGGATCAGGGATGAAGTTTGAGTACCAGCTTCTGTAGGCCCTGCGTGCTTCGAACTCCGTGATGACGCCATCACCGTCCGTGTCAAACGCGCGAAAGTTTTCCCGCGCAGTCTGAACCTCCTTGGGTGAAAGCTTCTTAGCCAAACTCTTCTGGAATTTTTGTATGAAAAGAGAATTTCCAAATGTCTGATTTCGCCCATAAACTGTAATTTGTCCCATCCAATGCAAGCATTATTGTCAAATGAAAACTGGTGCAACACATTTTCTGTAAAATACGGTACATAAACAGGGTGGTCGGTGCACTGAGCCCAGTTCGCATTGGATATTTCCATAAAACGCACCATGTCGATGAATTTTTACACTGTGACTGTCCACAGAAACATGTCTTTAAGAATCCGCGTATGCTGTGCGAGGCTGACAGTGAATAACTTACTGCTCAATCGTTATATACGGTTTGATGGGTAAATATTTTACACCCTAGCCTTTATGACTCCACATCCTGTCTTTGCTCTCTTTCAAAGTGAGTCAAGCTCTAATGCTGACAAAGCTCAAGCATTCGCTACTTCCCTAGGGAGAGAATTTTATCTATTACATGTATGACTTGTTGGGAGAGGAATTTCCTGTAGCCAAAAGAAGAACGCGGTTTGAAGATCTTTAAGTATAAAGCAATAAAAGTGCTATTGCAAGACGATAAGTAATAAAACGTTTCACATAGATTCTTCTTGATTTGTCTGAGGTTTCCCCAGAAAATGTTTATCCATATCTACCAACCTATACCTTTGACTGCGATGACAATCTACGGACAGCTTCGTGACTCAGAAACTCCCACCAGGATAGGCTACCAGTCCGGTCCGTGTCAATAGCCTTAAACTGATTAATCTCGTCTTCCTCTTCATGTGATAACATGTCACGATCGTGTCGGTCCTTGAATACTCTCCTTCTGAAAGCCATGAATTCCTCCAGCGATATGCTCGCATCTACCAGAAACACATCCAAAATACATTTCAAACCCCGAACGAATATTCTAAGATTGAAGAGAGACAACATTGTCGATGGTAGGCCTAGGTTACCAAGTTTTGAAGAGAAAACTTTTGAGCACCAAAGGGAGGGGCAAATATTACGGCAGAATTGAAAGAAATTGTTCCATTGTTCCTACCAACAAGAATGACTGAACGAAGTTATCCAACAAAAATGACTAAAATTTGAAATCTCTTAGCACAGTATCATCTTATGCTAAAATTTCGTGTGGTGGACTTGATGGGCACCTCAGTGTGAAACTTATCAAAGAACTTGTCGCAATACCCTTAACACTATGTTTGAGTTTAATTCTTGCTTGATTTGTTTCTAAGCACTCTCTATGCATGTCTCTACCTGAATCAATGTCAGCCGTTTCAAACACCTCCATCAGTTCGAACATATCATCTTGATGTAACAGCTTACTTAGGTCTTCCTATAAATGAAGATATCGACACAGTCGTTTTAGGGATTAAGTGTCTTCTAAGTTTAACATTTGATTAAGAAATTAAATTCCATCGATGTACCAGTACATTCAAAACAATGCAACTGAGGATTCAAAAAAGTAAACACCGAGCAATGCAAGATTAGATCACGGCATGCAGGAGAAGTAAAAAACAAAAAGCGTGGACATCAGCTACAGCCTGGTGACACTGCATTTTCTTTCTTTATCGCTTAAATGACGCAGTTCGATATTTTAAAAAACCACGGTCTTTCGTGAACAAAGCTCGCGCGCGAGTTAACGTCTGGCTGCGCCGATAGGACAGACGATCGGGCACGTGCGTAGCTGTTCCCTAATAGCTTCGTCCTGGGCATGCGTTGTTGGAATACCAAACCGGCTCGTGATTCAGTCATTCTGATTTCTGAGTGTTTTATCCGTATCGGTGAAGCACTCAAGAATTCTTTGAGAACTGCACGTGAAGTAAGAAATCAATTTTAAAAAATCAATTTAGCAAACAAGACCCCATGTATAGACAGATCCAGTTCAAACGTAATATCATTCAGAGCCCCTTTACTCTGTTATTAGGTCGCCATGGTTACAAGATGCAGTCATCAGAACTTAGACGCCCAAGCGCAAACAGATCTATTGCAGAGGTCCTTTTTGGTATTTCATAAGTATCAATAAATTTCAATTATTTTCAGAGAAAACACAATGGAGCCAGCTGTGTTTCATGTCAGTTCTTACTTTTCACATTCGAAAATATCTCCCATGGAATAGATCTATAATTTGTTGCAATTTTAACACCTGCATAACTAATGCATATACCACGAGCATGTAGGCATTGTGTATCAAAAAAAAATTAAAACTTAATAAGGTTTCGTCTTGCAGCTGAGCCCTGAAACTTTCGTTTAAAAGGTCAGATTTTGCTATTTAAAGCCACGGGAGTAGGGCTGAAACCTTTGTTATTTGAAGACAAAACGGGTCGTACTGCGTCTGAGGAGTTGAACGGTTTCAGAACTTTACTTCATATGTCCCGTTTTTACACGAGTCAGTCATGGCATACAGCAGCAACTCAGAGCTACGTATTGTGCCCATCCTCATTATTTCATTGATGATTCTAAACATGTTAGCCAGCTCAACCGCTGAGTATGGTAGCTCATGTCCGATAGGTTGGCAAGCATGGGGAGGAGCTTGCTACGTGAACATACTGAAGCCAAGACTAAACACCCAGCCGGAAGCTAAGACCATCTGCAAAAGTTTTGGCGCCAAACTAGCCACCCCTAACTCCAAAGCTGAGCTCGATTTCATCTGGGAACTTTTCCTCGGTTCCTTTTCAGACAGGAACCCACTTGAAGGGTTTTGGATCCACTGTACCGATACTAAACAAGAAGGAGTCTGGGTTTGCAAAGGAGATGATAATTCGGGCGCCCCCTATCGACCACTCTTCCACAATACTCCAAACACTGATAGCACAGACTGCTTGGTACTAAGCACGGAACAAAATCTCCACCCTTGGAGTTGTGACGAAACAAGAAACGTCATGTGTGAACTGCAAGCTCTGCCCACCAGCCAACCATCCAGCTGCTTTGCCGTATCTACAGGGCGTTGCCTTCATGACCACACCCTGGATGTGATGACAACAGAACGCCCTCCTCAGTGCTGTCGCGCCTGCAATGCCTCACCTGGCTGCCGTTCTTTCAATCTGATTGGTAAACAGTGTCAGCTGAGTAACGCTACCAGATTCCAAGTTGACAGGTTCGAGTATTTCAAAGACACAGACAATTGTACCTACTACGAACTTTAAATAGTGCTAATAAATAGCAAAGACAAAATGTCCAAAGTAGTTTGCTGAGGAAATTTCTTTGTTTAATTTGATCGCATTTGATTTATTTGAAAAACGTGAAAGAGAAACTCAACTTACGCATTCGTGACATGACCAGCCCACGCCAGCATTTGCCCTGCGCAAAAGCTGCCGAGCGGTGGAGTCCTGAACCCGTCCGGACTTCTGCAGACAGGACTCGTGGAACACGTGGGTGCAAATTCGACAGGGAAATAAGATCCCTCCGGAGTGGGAACGGCAGATAGCACATTTCTCGTCGTTAGAAAGCTGGGATCAATTGATGAGAGAAAGCGACAAAAACATTTCTAGTTAAATTTTAAAGAAAAGGAGTTACAACTAATCAAAAGATAAAGAATCCTTAGGATCAACCTGCCAAGTGATAAACTGTGGTATGAAAGGAACAAGAAGCAATATCGCTTGTAAATTAAGTTTAATCATTTATACTAGGTAAAATTTATTACAACATTTATTGAACGAAAGTGTTGGATATTTTAAACTAAAAGTAACTTTTTTTCAAAAGAGTTTATAGTCGAATTAATTAAGCCATCATTATCGTGGATAAAGACCTGTGAATCGCATGTATCTTCTAGACTTCAGATACCCAAGGACAATAATAATACACCCTCCAGTGATTTCTCCGATTCCAACTAGAGACTAGGTCCGCTGAAATCATCTTGTTCCTGGAGTTGGGTGTAATCTTGCCCGTTACGGGATTTCTTAAATAGCTCCCAGCTCAACGGCAGTCGGTTTTAATTTTCTCTTTCTTTTTTTTTCAAAGCATCTTTTCCGAGTATGATTTTTTCAGAAGTAACCGAAAGAAAAAATATTACAAATTCTAAAATTTCTGCGCGTCATTTTTCCTATCCAAGGGTTCCGGAAGCGCGCCATCCGGGGTCAACTGTCAGGCTTTATTCACCATACATGCATACAGTTCCCCCTCCCCCCGGAGGTTTTAGCCGGTGTCATTGTACTATGACAAAGCAACCATAAAACGATGATTCGAAATCCCCACAGAGAAAAAAGAATAGGTTCAAATGCTAACGGGCTTCGAGATTTAGGGTAAAGTAGTTCACAAGTGCCATTCAGCTAACTATCATCCCGAGACCAAACTTTGGCCCGGCATGAAAATCGGAATGGGGCAATAAATGTCAGTTTTCCGAAAATATACTACAAATGTTCAAACACTGCATGCCTCTTTTTTATGTAAGCAACCCCCGCTAATTGCAGTGACAAGATTGGGGAAACTATAGTTGACAATTGACCTGGGTGGACCTCTGCTTTAAGGAGCAGACAACTATCATACCAAGAAAGCTAACCATTTTGTTTCAGCAATGTGGTTATAAATGATCACCGTTAAATCGAGCTAGTTTCCACTTTATCAGAACGAACACACACGTAAAAACACCAGACTGGACAAAATAAACGCCAGTGTTCAGTATTCTTATCAGGGAAACGCAGAAACGTGGCTAGTCACTTGAAGCTTTTGTGTCTAGCACAAGAAATCTCCTGAATTGATCTAAGTTTGAAATTCTCGAGTGCGGGACACGTGCATTGGTGGGAGTCAAGTCGAACTGATCCAGTGGGCCCATAAACCATTTGGGTACAAACTTTACTTCAAGGAAGGTTTCCACAGTGCCCATGATGATAGCACCATTCTCTGCACTGCCACCTTTCTACGTAAATACATGAAACGACCATGTCAATAACCACCACTTAATGGTGACGCTATTTCTACGCCAGAGGCTAAATTATTTGGCATCGTGCTGTTTGCCAACGGCTTGTGTTTGCGAATGGTAACCAAAGCAAATAAGCCCAACGCTCATCACCATGTGATGGATGACAAATGAATGATCTGCAACAAAAGTTAGAGACAAGCAATGCGTCAACTTAACACTTTTACAGCTTCATTTCCTTTAAAGCGAATAATCCGCTGATGTTTATCCTGTGTAAACTCCGTAGTGCAAAATCAATTTAGCGTGGCCCAGATTTTACCCCACTGACTGTTCAAGAGATCAGACACCAGGTGCACCGTGTTTGTTTATATTTCAAACTGAGGAGGACCAGTAGGGACTTTAAAAATGACAAGGGCAGTTAGATGTCCCCTAAGGATTTCCTGGAAATTATCCAGCGAGGAGAACCCTTTTGACAACACAACAGGAGGATACTAAACTCTTTTGTAAGCATCATGAGACCGTTTGTACATATCAATGGACCAATTTCGACCTCCAAATCACCTTGTACTGCAAGCGCGAGACCGGTATACCGAAATCATCAATGACAACATGTGACAATGTTTCCATTCCAAACCCAAGCACACCTTAGACCAATCAATAGGGGAAACGTCTGCAGAATGTAAACTTTAGCGAGGTATTCAGTTTGTCAAATTGTAGGGACTAGCATATTCTAAGAGAAGACGAACAGGGCCAACGGACTCTGAGCTGGAACAAGAGAGGGCGCAATTTTCCTAGCAACGGAGGCTCCTTT